GCACCAGGGCCTCGCAGGGGGCCATCCGCTTTAGTTGGAGCGCCTTCATCACCATCATATCACATCGCCACCAATACATCATTATGTCATTGGACCGCCCCACCGTGCCCCTCCACAATACCATCATATGGGGCCCGTCCCGTTACTCTCATCACCATCGTCATCATCTTCGTCCTTGTCACGTTCTTCGTCGCCCTCGCCGTCGTGATCGTCCACGCCGTCGATGCCCCCGTCATCGTAGTCGTTGCAGTCGTTGTCGTCGTCGTCGTCGTCGTTTCGGTCGTCGTCGTCGCCGTTGTCGTCGTCGTCGTCCTCGCGTTCGTCGTCGTCGTCGTGGCGTTGGGCGTCGTCGTCGTGGTCGTCGTCGTCGTCGTCGCCGTTGCTGCCGTCGTCGTCGTCGTCGGCGTCGGCGTCGGCGTCGGCGTCGCCGCCGCCGCCGTCGCCGACAGCAATTTGTGAGCCAGGGCGCTTTGCCCTTCCCATCCCCCTCACATTTTTCTCTGTCCGCCATGCCGCCCGCCGCCGCGGCCGAGTCGGCGCCTGGCGCCGACGAAGCGGCGCCTGGCGCCGAGGGCCAGCCTGGTGGATCGGCGGCGGCAGCGCCGCCGCTGCCAGCGGCGCCCGCGGGGTCCAAGAGGCGCAGGGCCGTGGACCCCGACATCCGCCTCCTGGCGGCCATGCTGACGGAGAAGGCCCGACGACGACGACGACGGTTGTCAACGACGACGACGACGTCTCAACGATGGCGACGACGACGATGACGACGAAGACGACGACGACGACTACGGCCTACGCCCGTCGGCGACGACGCCCCCCTTTCCCACCCCCTGTCCCCCGTCTTTCTGGCTTCCTGTATCCTTCTTCCTTCTTCTTCTTCCCGTCCGATATTTTCTTTTTTCTTGCAAATCATTTTTTTGTTTTCGCCCCCTCCGCCTTCAGGCCGAGCCTGCCGTGGGCGTGGCCGCGCAGGTCAAGGCGAACCACCTGCAGAAGATCGTCGCGATCTGCGGGGTGTTGGTCAAGGACGGGGGGGGGGGAGCGGGGGCGACGGCAGAAGGAGAACGGGGGCGACGAGGTGGAGGAGGAGGCGGACGAGGAGGGCGGGGGATGAGGAGGACGTGGGTGATGATGGGGACTTGTTTAGCGAATGGCGGTGATGATGAGGACGACGAGGACACGTAAGGCGACGTCGACGACGATGATGGTGCTGACGACGGCAGGGGCAATTATCACGACGCCGACGGCTTGTGATCACAAGCCGTCGGCGTCGTGATAATTGCCCCTTCGCCGCTCTGTTCGCTGCCCCCCCCGCCCCATCCCCGCGCGACGCAGGGCGTCGCCAAGACGAACCACATCGAGGTCATGACCTCGAAGCCGATGTCCGAGCTCGACCAGACGCCCATCAAGCGCGGCTCGAAGTCGGCGGCGCAGTAGGCGGCTCGCCTGAACGCCCAGCCGACCTTCGACGCGCAGAAGGTCAAGGCGGTGAAGGACATCCCCGCCGCCTGGATGATGCAGTTGCTGCGGAACTGCAAGGGCGCGGGGAATGTCACGAACGAGATCGTGAGCGCGATCGTGTCCAAGGGCGGCCATGCGCTCAAGACGATCGCGTGGTATCTTGCAGGTCGGCGGGCCCTGCCAGCGAGGAGCGGGGGGGGGATGAGGATGGGGGAGGAAGAGGACTGAGGGAGGATGGGCGGGGGAGGAGGTTCGATGTGGGAGGTCTTCTGGCCTTCGGGGGCCTTCCTTTTCCTCCGACACCTCCTAGTCCCCCTCCTCATCTAGGGTCCTCCTCTCCTCCTCTTCCCCCCTCATCCTTTCCCCCCCCATCCCCCTCGCCCTCCTAATCCCCCCTTTCCACTGGCTCTCGGGGGCAGAGGGGGGGGGGGCGAGGAGGGGGAGGAGGACGACGACGGCGACGATCGAACCGACCGCGAGTATCAAGGCGAGGACGACGGTGAGAAGTTCCTAGGAGGAGGACGAGGGCGAGGGTTATGGCGATGATAAGGAAGTCGGTAACGGCGACGATGGCGCCGATGATGACGATGAAGACGATCGACGACGACGACGGTGACGCTTCCCCTCCGATCGACGGCCCCCCTTCGTCCTTCTCCCCTTCCCCCTTCCTCCTCCTCCTCATCCTCCCTCCTCCTCCTGCCCCTCCTCCCTCTCTGCCCCCCCCTTCCTCCTCCTTCTCATCCTTCTTCTTCTCCTCCTCCCCCGCCCCCCTCCTCATCCCTCCTCCCTCCCCCTCCTCCTCGTCCTCATCCTCCCTCTCCTCCTCCTCCTCCTCGGCTCCTCCCCGACGCTGACGCCGGCGCCGTCGCCGTCGCCGTCGCCGACGCCGGCGCCCGCTCGGACACCTCGCTCTCTAGCCTCGCTCCCTCGCTTTCCGCCGTTGCGGCTGCCGCGCGAGCCAGGTCTGGATCCGAACTCCCCGATTGGCGGCCACGTGCTGACGAAAGACAACTGCGCTCGCTGGATCACCCAGCTGGTCATGGAGCGCAACTTGTTGCAGAACAATTTCTTCGAGAAGATCTTGGTGAATGGCAAGCCCGTCTTCGCGCCGCACTGCGCGTGGTACGTCAACGTCTCCGAGGACGGCAGCGAGGCCGCCGTTTTTCCTGCCAGGGCGGGGTGGATGAGGAATGATGGCGGAGGGAGGAGGGGGGGGAGGGAGGATGGCGGATGAGGGAGGGGGGGGAGGGGGGAGGGAGGATGGCGGATGGAGGAGGGAGGCGGGAGGAGGGCGGAGGCGTCCTCCTTCGCCCCATCCTTCGCTCACATCACTCACATCATTCTCTTCGCGCTGCCACCTCGCGCTCCCTCATTGCCACCCCCTATCGCTTCGTTTCCCACCTCTCTCGATCACTCGCTCCCTCGCCTCGCTAGCCCGCCTCGCCTGCTCACCCACTCTCTTGCCCTCACCTCGCCACGCTCGCTCACTCGCTCTCTCCCCCACTCGCTCACCTCACTCGCCCCCTCGCCTCGCTTGCTCGCTCTCCCATCTCGCCCTGGTGCCCCCCCCGCCCCCCCCCCCCCCCGCAGGCCGACCGCCTGATCAACCGCGTGACGAGCGAGGTGTCCGAGCTCCGTGACAAGTGGCCCAGAGGCAGCTTGTCTTCTTTGGGCGTGGAAGCGGGTTTGGGGGGTGTAGGGCGAGGGCGGGGAGGGCGAGAATAAGGGTGGGGATGGTAAAGATGAGAGGGGTGAGAATGAGGAGGAGCGGGGGGGGGGGCGAGGAGGGAGAGGGTGAGAACGGACGAGGAGGAGGAGGTGGACGAGGATGAGGACGGCGATATCGACGACGACGGTCGCGATAACGGCTAATGGCCACGACCGCGACAACCGCGACGGCGACGACGACGGCGATCGCGACTACGGCGGCTGCGACGACAGCGACGACAGCGTTCGGCCCATTCCGCCAAGGCGCGGAGATCATGGACAACCACGCGGTGGCGACGGCGCACATCTTCGTGATGGGCCAGAAGGTGATGATGACGGCGCTGGTCGGGCAGAAGCCTGGCGCCGCGGCCAAGGGGTCCAAGCAGATCAACAAGGCCAAGCTCGCCGAGTGGCAGGCCGAGCAGGAGTCCAAGAAGCAGCAGGCCATCGTCACCGTGGACGCCGACACCGTGCATGCCGCGCGCCGCAAGCGCGCCAAGGCCTCTGCGGGGGCAGGCTCGGCCGCCGCGACGTCGACGCCGACCGCTTGAGGCGGGCTTCTTTTTGCATCGTTCGCTCGGGGGGGGGCCCTGATTTTAATCGGGCGTCGGTGTTTCAGAGGCCTTGGGTCATCCTGGCTTCCGCCCCCCCCCCCCCCCTCTCCTTCGACGAGTGTCGGCGCGCGAGTGGTCGCTGGCCGACGCGTCTTTCTCGCTCTCTCGAGCCCTTGGTGTGATCTTGTGGGCCTGCGCTTCGGTCGAATTTGTCCTGGGGGGCGGTCCATAGCGTGCTCTCCCTGGTGCGTCGATTTGATGAGGAGGTGGATGGGAGAGAGTCGTCAGGGGGGGGCAGGAGGGCGGGTGGAGGAGCGGAGGAAGGCGGCGAAAATGTTGGATAGATGGTGGTGCCGACCCACGACGACTACGGTGGTTATGACGGCGGTGGCGGCGAGGACTATGGCGACGATGGCGAGGGCGGAGACGACAGCTACGACGACGGCTTCGACGACGACGTCGGTCACGACGGCGGCGAGATCCGTTACGCGACGCCGTTAACCACGATGACGACGACGAGTGACGACTTTGACAGCGATCGCGATGAGAACGGTGACGACGGCGATAACGACCACGACGGCGACGATGCCGCTGCTGACGACGACGACGGCGATGGCGACTACGATGGGGGCGGTTGCGACGACGCGCGCAAGGCGAGCATTACGATGACGACGGTCACGACCACGACGACGATGAATGACGCCGCCGACGGCGAGCACGAATACGATGACGGTGGACGACGGGTGAACAGGAGAGCACGCTATGACCATGTAGTTGCCAGGCTGCACCTAGGCCGAGTGCAGGAGCAGGGTCCGTCAACTCGAGAGTGCTGCGCGCCACGGCAAAAAGGGCGCATCAGGAATGGTGCGATCTGGCGCGTGTTGAGATTGGCCAGTATGTCGGCAGTGCTTTGGTGCTCGCGGGAGCGTTCTCGGCGGTTCCAAGACGGCTCGTGTTCAAGGGTTCGGGCTTTGTCCTGCAAGGGGGTTGTATTTCTTGCTACCGACAGCCGTGCATGATGCGCGCGTCCCACCTTGGGGCCCTCCTGGCACCCTGGAGCTTTGTTGGGTCGAATTTCCTTCGGGATCTCGCGCCCGATTTCGGCGGGATGAGGATCGATGGAGTGCGCAGTTGCGCGCTCGTCCACAATTCCGCTTGCGCCCTTCCCGAATGCAGATTCCCGCCATTTGTTGTCCTCAAGCCCGTTGTGGGCAGCCAGGGGGGGGGGGGGGGGGCCCCCCCTTTGCGTTAGGGCCCCCCCCCCTTTTCTTCGGCGCCATCATGCTGAAGCTCCAGTGCTCGGACAGGGCGTTTGCCTTGTACGACGACGAGCCCGCGCTGGGGTCCATCCACCAGATCACCGCCTCGGCCGTCACGCAGGAGGTCGGCAAGCTGCCGCCTCACAAGGGCCGCCGCGCATGATCGTTCCTAGGGTGGAGCAACCGACCCCGCATAATTTGTAACCGCGGGCATTTTCTATATGACAATGCTCTGTATGTAGGGCGTCGTGTTTCTATTGTTGACGCTTCGCGTGCCCCGCCCCCCCCGCCCCCCCCCCCCCCCCCCCCCCCCCCCCCCCTCCCCCCCCCCCCCCCACCCCCCCCCCCCGCCCCCCCCCCCCCCCTTCCCCCGCCGGCCCATCCAGAAACGATGCCCAGGGGGGCTAAGGTTATCGCGGAAGCGGGGGGTATGCAGAAGAGGAAATGGCGGGGAAGTTGTCGCAGACACTCAAATAGGAGAGGGTGGATGAGGAATCGTCGTCGCATGAGGAGGAGGCGAAATAGGAGGACGAGGAAGAGGATGATGAGGAGGACGAGGAGGAGGAGGAGGATAATGATGAGGATGCGATGGGTCAGGGCGGGGGCAAGGGGGACGAGAAGGAGGATAAGGAGGATAATGACGATAAGGATGAGCATGGTGAGGATGGGGAGGGGAAGGGGGAGGGGGGGGGGATGAGGAAGAGGTGGGTGAGGAAGAGGAAGAGGACGGCGATCCGAATAGCCTGAAGCCTCTTAAACGCTGTTCGGGGATCTTATTGAAGCTCCTTGGGGGTATCTTGGGGGGCCTCTTGGAGGCTTCTTGGGCGCCTCTTGGGGCCGCCTGGGCGCTTCTTGGGGCGCTGTTGGGGCGCTCTTGGGGGCTCTAGGGGCGCCCTTGAGGTCATGTTGGATGACGTCGGTCAAAACAATGGGGCCCCCTAGTTGGCGCCCGCCCTCGTGAGCCCCCAGCATCGCTTATTGGAGCGCTCTTGGGGCGCTCTTGGAGCGCTCTTGGGCGCTATTGGGGCCGTCTTGGGGCCCCCTTTGGCTTCTCTGGGGGCCATCGTGGGCCATCTTGGAGCCATCTCGCGGCCTCGATGGCCATCAGAGGCGACGCTGCGAGAAAGCACGCTTATTGATTTTCAGTTGGGTCTGCAAGGGTTTGGTTTTTCTGCGGTGGTTCTTTAGGTAGCTCTTTGTCCATTTGAGTCCCCATTGGAGCGTACTTGGGCCCTCTTGGAGCATCTGCGGAGCCACTCTGAGGCATATTATACACCTTGCGCCATCTTGGAGGTCATCCTGGGCTCTCCGAGGCCATCTTGGGGCCGCATTGCGCCACGCGGGGCGCCCTGCCGCGCTGCGCCCCCACCCCCCGCCCAGGTCCAGGGGAAGGGGGTGGGGGTGCGTGGGCACCTCCCCGAAGGGGAATAATTTGGTTGGAAGGGGAAGCGCTCTAGACAACTTGCGCCCAGAGGGATGGTGGGATCCTAAGGACCTGGCCTTGTCTGGTCTGGTCGCCTTGCCGTCGCCGCTAGTCGCCGCTCGTCGCCGCCCGCCCCCTGGGCCTGCTTGTCGGTCTGGCCGTCTCGTCACCACCGTCGCCGCCTCGTCGCCCCCCTTCGCTTGGGCAGGATTGTTGGCGCGCCCGCCTCGTTGCCGCCGTTGCCGCCTGGCCTGCGACATTTCGCTTGCACCGCAGTGGTGCTACCGCGTATACTGCATAAATCGCGCGCGTAGGTTGCGCCTCACATCTAGCTAGAGTGCAGTGTTGTGGGCTTACGATAGATATCGTTTCATTTGGCGAGTGGTTGTTTTGGTTAGCCCCCCCCACCCACCCTCCCGCGCCCATGCGTTGTCATTCTCATCTTGCCACATCTGGTCGCCGCCAGGAGTGGGTGTTGTTCTGCGACCCGTCCGACCCCGACCTGGAGGCGTTCATCGTCCCGAAGGGTGCGGACCTGGACGACTCCGATGCCGACATAGAGGCGCACCACGCGCAGAAGTTCCTGAGCCTTCATCACTACAGCGATGGCAATGTGCTGAACGATATGTTCGTCGCCCCCGATGGCGCGCGCATCCCTCGGCTCAGCATGGTGCAGTCGCACGCAATGGCCACGTTCACATCATTCCAGAGGCCGCTGGGCGCCCTGCGCTGACTGTGAAGGGAGCGGTCTTCGAGCACGGTTGGTCGGGGCACGTGTAATTGATGTGATCAATCTCGTGGGGAAGATGTGCCTTCCTCCACCGTACTCGCGCGGTTCGGAATGGTTCCACGGAAAGGTAGATCGTTGGAAGGGTTATGCTGCGAAGGCTGGTCTCGGTTATAGCACTTGCAGGAGCAGCCAGCCATACGACCCCGAGCAGAAACGCCTTTGTCCCGAGCGGTGCTTGCTCTTCCCCAGCCTGTCGTTGAGGCTGCTCTTGGTGATAGCGCACAGGTCTGGCCTTTCCAGCTCGGAGAGGCACGGCAAATTGAGGGATCCTTCGACTTGGCCAGCCTTCGTCGACTTGTTCCGCGGCCTCATGAGCCTGCTCCCTGCCAACTTCACGATTGGCTTGCGCTTGGACCGCTTCGCCACGAAGGCCGCCCCGAGGGCGAATGGTTGCAATCTGATGCGTGTACTGTAACAGGTTACCCTGATGCAACGAATATATCATATACACTAACAGCATGTTCCGCCACACGCGCAGTCCCTTCCATTGCATCACACATAATCGTGTAACCTGATGGCTGGTACTGTTTGGTATGGGATAGGTACGCCATGTGCTTTATGGGTACACGTGTGTGCGATGTGTGAGTAGTGCCCATTAACTTCAACTAACATTGCATGCTTGGCTCACGGTCACACCGTGACGACGCCGATGGCGACGATGGCGGCGACAACGACGGCGACCTCTGCGAAGTCGACTCCGACGGCGACGACCACGACGACGGACGCAGCAGCGATCACGATGACCATCGCCACGGCGAGCAACGACGACCATCACGACGGCGGCGATCACGCTGACGGCGATGACGGCGCCGACGACGTCATTGAATGAAGGCGCTGCCGATGGTGACGAAACCATTAAAGGATACGGCGACGACGGCGACGACCGCGACGACGACGCCGACGACGACAACGATCGCGGTGTCGACGGTAGGGGTCGTGATTTCGGGGTTTTGGGCGGGCAACATAATGCAATTTGAAACGGAGGGTCGTCGCAAATATTTGCAACGTTTGGGGGGTCTGGCACGAAAAATCACGATCACGTTTTCCTGGGACCACCCAACAAAATATTGCATTTTTTGGAAGCACGCTACTTTTTTCAAGTGGCCGCGCGCCTCGGGGCCTTGAGCGGGGCCGGCGGAGATTATAAGGTAGAGCTCATTTTTGTTGCCATTCACCGTTGAACTAGCATTGGTTGCAAGGCACATCGTTGGAAATCGCGTTGCCTCGAAGATTGCGCAGTCATGACACACCTTGTCCGTAGCCGTTTTGGCTCAGAATGGATCCTGCACTGATATGGAAACTTCGTTTCATTTTCAGCACGTATGTTTCAGTGTCAAGAGGTTGCGCAGTCATCCCAGAGACAAGCTTGACAGATGTTACATGGCGCTTCGAACATCTTGTAGGTGAGGCGGTGTGCAAAGACGCAGCATCGCAGAGTTGGGATAAATATTACCTGCCTGTTTCAAAAGGTTTCGAGCTCGACGTTGTCTTCGGGGTAATGCAAACACTGGGAGTGGCATGTACTCGGCAAAGCTGGAAAGACGGCTGGGAGGCCGTGCGACCACGACACATAGAGGGAAATTGTGTAGTTTTCGATCCTGGCAGCGCGGCTGCAGCTGCTGTACCTCACGACGTCGGGGTCGGCACACAACGGATTGTTCGAAAGCAGTTCGAGCGAGCGAGTACGTTGCAACGCCAGCTGCACGTCGAGAGAAAGGCCTACAAACGTTTGGAGACTAAGCTAGCCGTTGCGACGAATAAGATCGATATTCTACAACAGCAAATCGTAGAGAGAAAATCTGGGCAACACTTATCATATCGTGCTGGGATGAACGTTGCCCTGCGTCGCATCACATCGCGCGTCTCAGCCGCGCGGTGTGGCTTGTCAATGGGCATGGACATTAGCTCGACCACTGTCTCAGCATGGGAGATCAAGGCGGACGCAGCCTTGGTCGCGTCCAGCAGGAGGTTTCACGCAACCACGGCCGATGAGCATGATTGCGCGATTTACTTTATTCGGAGCGATGCGACGAATGCCGAAGTCTGGCAAAGGTCGAAATTAATGACGGTTGTGACTTTTACAGACTACTTCAGTTGGGACAGCGAGCAGGAGGAATCACGAAAAGATTTTGCTGACCTGCAAGTCGTCGAGGGATCGACTGGCAGGGATTGTTACGCGATGGTGCTGAAAGCTTTGGAATCGATTGGGGTACCAAGACCATCAGATCCGATAGCAAACAAAGTTTCCATATTTTGCATGGTAACTGACGCTGGTTCCGACGAGTCCAAGATGAGACGCCTTGCAAAGGAGTCCGTTCGGTTGAATGAGGCGCCAGGGGTATACTTCTTCGCCTGCAATTGCTTGCACCACCAGCACCAGCTCATCAAGGGTGCAATGCTGCAGCGAGGTTCAGAGCTCCTCAGGCTGTGGGAGTCGGCTATTGTAAATTATCCTGCGACCGTCGCGAAGATCTTCAACGTATGGAGGGAGCACGCCAGGTCAATTCATTGCTTATGGATTCTCAAAGCGAACGTCGCTTCAGCACAGAAGTTCACGTCTCGCAGGCCGCCGAAGTGCATCGCCAGCAGGTGGGGATCGTTCTTTACGTGCGAGTCTGTTCTCGCTGCCATGCCGAGTAAAACCATGGCCGAAGTATTCATGGCCGCATCGAGCTCAAAGACACGCAAGCTCGCCAAAGAATACAAAGAAGAAACCGACGTGGAGAAAGCAATAGAAGCCATGATGTCGATAGACGAGATCGGCAGGGAGGATCGAGACGACTACAAAGAGAAAGTGTCAAAGTGGTTGTCAGGCGCCACCGCGGGCCTCAATTGTGATATATTTTGGATGGTCTTGCGAATTTCACACCGCGTTGGCACCGTCATTGACGAATTCAGCAATTTTCTGCAAAGTCACGACAAGAGAGTCAAGGCGGGAAAGCCTGGATGCCTAGCGGCGCTGGCGGCGGGCAAAGCAGATTACTTCCATACCAAATTATCTGAGCTTGCTGTTCGACGGTCGGCTTGGGGGGGCGCGCTACAGGAGGGTGACGACTTACCCTGTGGCATTCGTGCCAAGGTTCTGATGGGCGCGACGTGGTACGCAGCGTGCGCTGCCGCTGACTTTGATAACCGCATCTGTAGCAGATGCAACGTCTACCCAGTGCGACTGCTGGCGCTCGGGGTTGGTGACCCCGACGGCCCGAACGAGCTGAGGAGGAACATCGCTCGCGACGTGCTGGCGTTTCGGCCTGACACCGACTTGAGCAAGTTGGGGGTGGACTTCAATCTATTCAGGCTCCGCGCTCAGTTCCACGATGATTTCGTGCGAGCTGCGGTCGACGGCAACATGAGTCAGAGCATGAAGTTGTACCGCGTCACGCTCAATATCGGGAGGTCTCCGAGGCCAGATACGCAGGAGGTCGAGGGCATGAACTCGCTCATAACAATTGAGTCCGCTATCGCCCCGACAATATCTTTACCATTGCTCAGCAGTAGGGTCAACAACTCGAAAAGATGCGGGCTCGGCTCACGGAGTGCAAAGATGAGATTGAACTGGAGCGACGTGCGAGGATCCATCGAGAATCTCCGAGACGAGGCAGTGGAACATTTCGAGTCAATCGAAGCAGTCTTGGGCCAGAAAGGCCGCTTCGCGACGCCTCCGCCAATTGACGCTGCGTCCGCCCCAGAACCTGAGAGGGCGCCAGCCGATGGAGACAAGCAGCTAAGGGACAGGGCGTGTAGGGCATGGGCCTCCAATGTGCACGGACGGCGCAACTCCCCAGAGAGGTTCGTCATCGGCGTCGCTGTGGGCGATATTGTGTACGTGCCAACCATTTCGCCCTACAACGTGCAGATGTTCGCCACTGCGACTGACGAGGGCGATGGGCGACCGCTTGAGCTCCATAGTCCGATCAATGCAGTCAGCGGGTGGGATATGTTTACTTCGTTACTTGGTGCAGAAAGGTCGCATTTGGAAGTCAACTTGAAGACGATTGCCTGGTCAGGGGTGGGGTCTTTCGATGTTGTTTCGGAGGAGGTCGTGGCGTGGCCACTACCAGAACCCAGCAAACGCAAATGCGTCGCAGCCGCTCCAGGCCGACCCCCTTCATTGGAAGACGAGGGCGGTGATGCCGACAGCGACGACGACCATGGCGACCAACCAGTCCTGGATGGGATCGCAGTCGACATAGCGCCCGAGCCTGACACGAAATCCGACGACGGCGACGACGGCCCATGCGACGAGCAAGGCGTGCCGACGCCTGAGCCATTGTCAGAGGCACGGTTGTTGGAGTTGCGTAGGCTTTGGGAAGATCAGTTCCTATTGTCTCAGCAGTGCATCGAGCGCTGCAGGGACGAATATCAGGTCAGACCCCTTACGAAACAAGTATCGTTGGTAGCAACAGTCGGCGAGGACGGAAATATGACAGTTACCCTCATGCAGTTCAAGGGCGCTGGCGACATGTGCGGCCAGATTGTGAACTCGGGCGAGAAAGGGAGATGCACATTTTCACCTGTTGGGTACTTTCGTTTTCAGTGCTACATGGACGACACGTGCAAAGTCATTTTGGCTAGCATTGGAACCACCATGGTCAAATGCAGAGGCGCATATCGGCCTTACTTTGACCCGTGCGTCCTCCGTCTGAAACAGATGTGCAGTGTTCTAGCTTGTAACGGTTGGAGTGCAGATCCGTCGCACATGCTTGTGGAGACATGCGCAGCTTGCGGTGGGAGAGATGGCGTTGTCGTCCAATGCCCGCTGTGCTTGTTACACGGGCATATCGCGTGCTTCAAAGCGTCTAAGAGGCGCGCGTCTGTGAGTGCTGCAACGTGTGCTGGCGCCGTTTGCGCTTTCGACCGTTTCTTTGCAGCCTGGCACCTAGACGAGTCTCACATATGCAACCTTTGTCGCCCTTGAGAACTCGAGAGGGCGCGCTGAAAAA